TTTTTCACGTATAAAAGGTATAATCGATTTATTATTATCACAACGTATAAGACCAAAACATGATTCATCAGGAAGTAAGAATGAATCAGACAGTATCAAGAAGACAAAAGAAGTTTCAATACTAATGGCAAAATAGATAAATGCCGGATGAGTGGGTGGAACTAGGGAATATTCCTGGGTGACTTATGTTAGCCATCATTACTCATAGATTTATCTCACAGTACTTACTTGTTCATTCTATCAAAAATGATTCATCCTGCCAGCTTTTTGAAATAAAAAATCAATGATTATTATGTGCTGCCCATAGTAGTCAAAAGAGAAAGGAAGTAATCGAGAAAGTAAAATAAGTATGACGATGACGACTACGGCTATCATCAATCAAAAATTGCCTAAGCTTTGATTTACAGGTATTATAGTATTGCAGTATCTCCATTCTATAGGCTTGGATGAGCAATCTGTTGTTTTAGATGCTTGAATCTGAAATCTTGAATTTAATTATTAGCCCTCTTCTGAAAAATTTAGAATTTGAAGAGGCTACGTTTGAAATTCATGCGATTCGTTTAACTTTAATGAATCAACAACATGTAACCATCTTAAATATTTATCGTCCTAAAGCAACTACTATGCAACGTCTCCTTGCCCGTTTAAGTACTATTTTAAATGAATTTGGCAAATCTAAGTACAAAGACGATATACTGCTCTGTGTGGGAGATCTCAATGCACATTTTCAACCTTGGGCGAAAAGTATTGTTCCTTCAACAAACGAAGGAATCTTGTTAGACGAATTTCTTGAATCTATGAACTTCACTCAACTTGTTTCTGGGGTCACTCGCATTGCATCTGAGACTTGTCTAGATTTAGTTATAACTATGAATTCATTGTTCGTAAAAAATGTTATTATTGAACTACCTTTAAGTAACAGCGATCATAGTTTTGTGGAATTTGACCTAAATTTGAATATCACACGTAAAAATAAAATAATTCATACTGTTTATGATTATGGTCCGGTAAATTGGGAGGTGGTAAATGTACGCTTTAAAGAGATTCCTTTGAACCAAATTCTGAAAAACTATAACAATGTTAGCGAAAGAATACAAGCATTTGAAGAAATATTTTTAGAACACATTAAAAAATATGTGCCTCATAAAGTAATAACTATGAAACCGTGTGATAAAATTTGGTTTAATGATAAGTTGCGCGTGCTATATAAAAGAAAGTGTTGGTTATATCGTAAAAGTAAACAATCAGACTATCATCTGAATTTATATCAAGAAATAGCAAAAACATTTCAAGACGAATGTATAGCTACGAAAGAGCAGTACTACAAAAGAATAAACTCAAAAGTATGTGCATCTTCCAAAAATTGGTGAAGTTTGGTTAAGCACTCGATGGGTAGAAGGAGGTACACTACCATTCCAGTGTTGAATAATAATAACAATGTAATTGTTACTGCGACACAAGAGAAAGTAGAAATATTGAATGAATTTTTTGCGGAAGTTTGCACCTGGCATGGGCCGACTGTTGATCCTAAAATTGCAGATAGCTTATCATCATCCTCCGCTTTCCTTCATGAGTTTAAAGTTGAATTGCCAGGTGTTGAGAAGTTGTTACGAAGGTTAGACCTTAGTCACACGTGTGCTCCATCAATAACTAATCGTATGTTAAAAAATATGATTCCTTCGATTGTGCAACCATTGACTAAATTGGTGTATGAGTCGTTTCAAACCTCTACTTTTCCTCTTCGTCGGAAAAATGGCATCGTTAATCCTTTGTATAAAAATGGAGATAAACTAGAAAGATCGAACTACCGTCCTATAACCCTTTTACAAGCCTTTTCTAAGGTACCAGAGCGTTTAGTTCACAAGCAACTGTATACACATTTTATAAAAAATAAACTCTTATCGGTGTCTCAATCGGGCTTTGCAGCTAAAGATGGTCCGATTAATCTGTTACTTGAAGTTGTTCATAAGAATAACTCTGATATTAAGAAAGATAAATTTATTCGAGCAGCTTCATTAGATTTTCAAAAGGCGTTCGATAACGTAAATCACGAGTGTTTGATTCTGAAATTATATAAAAAAGGTATACGGGGGAAAGCTTTGAAATGGATTGAGGATTATCTTGCGAACCGTAGTATTCAAACTGTTCTTGATGGTCATATTTCCAGAAAACGGCCTGTAACTAAAGGTGTTCTTCAAGGCTCAGTTTTATTACTTTTTCTGGTTATTGGATTCGAGCAGTTGGGCTATTTGAACTTGAAAACAGATGACATCTGGTGTACTTGAACTTGCCGGTCGGGATAAAGGTTGTTGCGGGCAATAATTAAGTACATAATTGTGTTTCATACGCCTATTGTTCCACAAATGGATTTGTTCAGGAATTTTTTCGACAATGATGCCAGTTTCGTAAAGAATTGTTTTGAGTGATATTATTGTGATCAATGAGTACATCTCTTCAATTTTCTACTTTAAAAATGGCAAAAAGATATTTCGTTAGTTTTAATAAGTGATTTAATGTTAATACAACTATATCTTCTGCTGGACTAAAATAAATTCTTGGATTCTTTTCTCTAGTGTGCTCCTTCTATGTCTCTACCACACGTAAAATTATGAAAATAGACAATCTATCTTAAAGAGTGGGACAAACCAACTACCAAAGTTTTACGAGAGATAGGAAAATCGCCACAGTTTCTCCTTCACGTCAAATTTAAAATTAATGTTGAATCTAAAAAGGACGAAGACAAATTCGTACATGATTATGAGAACTACAATTTAACTATTTTACGTATATTGTTATCAGAAATTGATGGTTCTTTCTATCTTTCAAATGCAGTAAATAAAACTACCGAAACGCTTTTGCATCATTTTACAAGATGTATAAAAAGTTGTGTACCTTTGAAACGGGTTTCTTTTAAGAATAACACAGTTTCTAAAATGTCTATAATTACATTGGTATGTATGTTTTGAAAATAGAGAAAGACAATATTTTAAACTTGTTTGTTTTTGTTTTCAGACATCGCTGTTATTGATGATTATAGTTTTATTCACGTTCATATTTGACAAACATTTTAAATCAAATAAAAAATTTTCATCCGGTGCCATTGTGCTAAGTTCATCCCCACAATGCATACTTTCATTCACATGCACTTGCATCGAAGTAACTCACATAATATGTCAACGCTACTTGATACTTACAATCTGTTTTCTATCCTATCTATCTCAAATATGAATTTTCTTAATATTGGCATTAAGTGCAACAAAGAATAAATAAACAGTTAGAAAAAGACAATAGTGTGAAGAAAAGTGTTGTCGTGTATATTGAAACACGGATAGTGACCCCAACAAGAAAATGAACAGTACTAACATCTTCATCACTGAACAATGCCTCAAAAACAAGGAATAAAAGTGTCCAAAATATTTTACAAACAAAATATCTCAATCATCTGGATTTAATTAATTCAACTTTTTGGAAACTGTTAATTGCTGGCAAAATCCGGTTAACTCCAATGGATTGTGACATACATTCACGAGAAGAATACTTTTTTGTTCAAGGTGAAAAAACCATGAAATCGACAGGCATGCTGGCCTAAATTCGCACGGATGAATACCATAAAACTTTTTCATACTAAGAATCTGTATTACAATGAGATTGAAAGAGTCGTTCTAGAAAAAAATGATCAAAGGTAACGTGTACTTTAGTCCAACTAAATAGATTAGAACAGATACAGTTTACTCTATAATCTAGAATTTCCTTTTTGTTCACGATAAACGAAGAAAAAAAATTTAAAACGTGCGCGACCTTTCTAAGCTTTTCTGGATCTTACTATGCAGCATTATGTTTCTATTTAACTGAATTACTTTTTGATTATATAAACTATATGGTTAAAAACTGAGCGAGTGATAGTAAAGGTCGAAATATTGACTATTTAGATGGACAACGAGAAAGAAAATAGTACAAACAAATGCGTTGTTATAGATGGAATCCTATCTAATAAATTGTAGAAAATTAGAGATTAAAATGTGGAATGTTATTTGGGCATTTTACATTCGATTTTCTTTGCTATTCGGTTTCGTTAGTACAAACATGTGGGGGAATGAGAAAAAACATTTTTTCTCTCTCAGTTATACACAAAACAGAACTCTGTTCGATAATTCTTTGTATTGTCTCGTTTTCTTAGAATGTACAAATATAAAATTTGTACATATGTAATGTCACAAGGTAAAAACAGGTGGGAGATCGAGAGTAAAGCATTTTTCTCTCTGACTTATATACAAAAGAGAAATTTTCTTCGACAATTCTTTCTACTTGTCTTATTTTTCTTCTTCTTTGGCTGCTGACGATCGACTTGAGCAACCGTGAATGCGTACAGCCACGCTCGATTTTCCACCTTCTTTTTTGTCGTACTCAACATTCGCCAAAACAGGTTTGATTTGTTGTATAGATACTCACAGCCAGCCTTACTGCCCTCCCCCCCATACACGTTCACATTTGGAGAGAGATTCCTCTCTATTTGTTTTTGCACGAACAAAATTAGTAAATCAAGAAGTTTATCTTTCACGATGTTCAGCTAAAATCGAAGCGAAAGCATTTGGCAAGTCTCTTGTTGCAGGTGGTAGTTTTGCTACTGTTGTTCCTTAGGCATACAGTCCCATCAATTTAATTTTCAATAGTGAAAGGCGTAGCTCTCTAGCTCTTTGCTATCAAATTTATTAGGTAAACAATGGATTGCCTTATATTTTGAAATGGACAAATAGCTCAATTATATCTTCTTCTGTGAAATTTTTACCTGCTTTTCAGGTCTCCAAGACCTGGAAAGCAGATAACTAGATGATTACGAGAACCATCTAAACGTTTTCGCAGTATCTCTCAACAACTTTATCCTTATCGATTGAAGTAAATGATCTACTACATTTAAGCTCGTTAACGTTGTCAGCCGACTTAAGAACACGGAGAAAGTGAAAAGGATAAAGTCGGCTACTGCACCAAGTGCAGTCAGCTGACTTAAGAGAGAGTCCACCAGCTCATCGAGAATTAACGTCAAACGAAAAATTTTAAATTTGAATTTAACTATGTTCATTCGATAGCTGATGTTGAGAAACCTGTGTAGTCAGATTTTTAGGTCAAACAAATCATATTTCACCAAGATATGAGATTTTCACAAAAGGGCTATTTTTAATTTTCTAAAAAGTCAGGCAAGGCGTATTTTGCTTCTTTCTATCATTTTGAAATGAATTCAGATGATTTTCCATTTGTGCAATCGAATCATTGACTTGTACAACACGATCAAATAAATTTTTCAAATATATATTTGTACTCTCTTGCATAATTTGAGTTTCTTCTTCTTTTTGTAGTTTAATAATAATTTCTTTTAATGGCGAAATAATTGCACGTAAATAGAGCATGTTACGTTTCATATCACAGATCGATTCTAATGTATCACGTTTAAGTTTTTTCATAAGTAGATGATTATCAATCAAGTCGACTTTCATACGCATTGTATCCAAAACATCCATATAGTGATCGACAATGACATCGATAAGTGAATAGAATAAATAGTCGACTTTTGATTTTCTTATACGACCTTTACCTTGTCGAATGCGATCTATAATGTGCGAATTGGTAATTTAGAAGAAGAAAATGTCGAGAAGATGACTCACTTTTAATTGAATCGAATAGATCTTTGGGTGTTTCTTGAAAGGTTATGAGAATATTTTCTCTTAAATAGAAACTGATTTGTTCGAGGAGGATAAATTCAGAACGGCTATAATCGCGAAAAATGAGTTTGCAAACGAGAAATAGTGCATCATCCAAAATATCTAATTTGGTTCCTTGCTCTGTTGTTGGGATATCAGTTTGTACCAGGCTATGAATATTATAACGAACACCGAGCTGAGCAATAATTTCTTGTTGATGAACACCGTCGACATTGATCCCTACAAAAAACATATCATTCGTTTTTCGCTGTCGAACTTAGGTTTATAAAGACAATTTACAAGTCATCCATGTCGCAGGAATATGTGGAAGATCGTCGGTCGACTTTCTTATATTTGCCGTCACAGGATGAATCTGCATCATACACAAATACATGGAATTGTACCGATTGTCTAGACAGATGAAGAAAAAAAAGAAGAACCAATGATGTACACATTCAGTCGATCCCATGACTTACGTCGGATCACTGAAGTGCACAAGAGTACCGGGTGAATAGGCGCCGGAACCAAATTGTGTCAGTCGTCGATTGATCGATCCTCGAAGGTTAAAATGCATGAAGAAGTTTTGTTTTAGATCTAACATTCAAGTATAACATTACGGAGAGCATTGACAACTGAACAAAACTACATAGTCTTTTTTCAAAATAATTTTCCTCGACAGGAGCTGTACACACATTTATAAGTTTTTCCATTTCTCTGTGTTCATAACTTAATAAGGTTCAACTCTATAATGTGATTTGAAAATTTGAAATACTGCAAAAATATTGTTGAAAATATTGTTTTTTTAAATTTTGGTTTTTGGCTATCAGTCAATTTCTTTCACATTAAAGTAAGGTTTTACCAAAAACCAAAGTGATATTCTGAACCAGCTTGACCAGCTGCATCGAACCGTCTAGGAGTTTATTTAGAAAGTTTGACGGAATAATTTGGATCGATAGTCTTTGGCGGACGCGTTAATTAAATATATTGAGAAAAAATTTAATTTAAATCTTAGGGAAGCCATCAAAAAT